CTAAGACATCTGAATGATTTAATAATATGATTTAATTTTTCATTATTTTATGATCATTGAATAACTTAATAATGAACCGTGGGACAATCAATGAAAAGTTGAAAATGAGGTTTGGTTTTGTAAGAATATTAGTAGAAAGAATTTTGTTGTAAAGTTTATCTCATTTCATTTTTTCTGAAGAGTTAAAAATCAGTTTGTTGCCTTGTTGGTACATTTGAAAGAGTAGCAGAGAAGTTGTATTTGTTTTAAGAGAGGACTTCAAAGAAATTACTGCCTAAGTGGATATCAAGTGTCACTGAGAGATATCTGCCAAGAAAGGTATTCAAAATGCACCTCTTTGCATCAAAAAATTATTAGTTTGTCAAAAAAAAAATCCTGCTTTGTGGTCAATAAAAATATCCATCAACAGCACGCTTTTTGATGCCCAGAACGCTGGAAATCGTATTTTCGAGCTTCTAGATTTCAAATTTTTCTGGGGGAGCATGCCCCCAGACCCCCTAGGGAAAAGGGGCCTTGCGGCCCCTTTAGTGGTCACAGCCGCCTATTACACCTTCAGTGGCCGCTTGTAACTAATGTTATTGAAACCCCTGCTATAGGGTTTTAGTGGTGGTGCAGATTATGCAAATGATATGCAAATGTTGTCCTTCCATCATCTGTAAGCTTTTTGGAGTAATTCCGCTGACCAGTAGATAAAGCTCCTGAAATCACTGTATTAGTCAATATTGCAGGCACGTGTATCGTTTTTACTAGGTCTAGCTGCGATTGTTGCACTAAAAATGTAAATTTGTTTTGTTTGCTTACTGGGTATAGTTCATTTAACATTTCTATTACAATTCTAATCTCAAATTAAGATAAGGATAACTCTAATTGGCTTTTGTAATACGCATTGGGAACGTTTTTGATGTTGCTGGAAGCTGCTATTGTAAATTTCCGCTCCGAAGTTTGAAATTTAGCAACGATTGACAAGAGGCAATCCTCTCTACATATTGACTGTACTACTACTGGAGGGTTGAGCTCCTGAAATTAAATTTCGGAAATCAAAGCGAACAGTATCGCTGAGGCCACTGCATTTGTCAAAAAATTCTCTAAGAAGGAACACCGCAGTCTTGCGAGCCTCTAAAAGGCTCATGATTACGCCAGGTTATAAGTTTCAACGGCGGGCATGGAATCCACTGAGATGAAATCGTACTCAGAGGACAAACTCACATGAGTCGCATTGGAAGAGGAACCCCGCATAGCGGGAGCGAGGAGAACTAGACACTTAACTTCAAAAACTAAAATGCAATCCGAGCATTAAACATTTCCCCACAGAAAAAAAGTTTTGGGCTTTTTCAAGCTGATACACTTTGACACTTGAATAGGCTGATGAGCTATCATATCGCAGTCACAAAACAGCTCTCGCGAAAAGCTTTGTATGTCTATTTATAGTAGATTTAATCATCGCAACACGATCACATGTGTACAGTTTGATTTTGAGGCGATTTGAATCAACAAAAAAATCGATTCGCGCTACAATATTACGCCGAATTTAACTGGGAAAAAGATCAAATAGGACTCCTCTGTTCCCTGTGTACTAGCCACACTGAAAGTATCCGAGAAGTTTGCAGTTTAATAGACTATATGCGGCGTATTTGTAAGCTAATTCGCGTATTTGCTAGCTAATTTGAGATAAGGGTAAAGTACTCTGTATCTTTCCCCCCTTGAAGCAAGGGTTTCTTACATGTTACTATAGCCTGCGTAACAAGCGTTCCCATATGAAGAGCTTTTCCGCATTCTGGCCGCGCGTAAATTGGACCGAGAGCAAAAACTCGACGAAGCAGGGGGTGGTGTTAGCTACTTCGCATATTTGTTAGTCAATTTGAGATAAGGCTGAAGTACTTTGTATGTTTTTCCCTTTAAGCAAGGTTTCTTACGTGTTACTATGGTTAGCACCCATGTTCCAATCTAGTGGACCTGAGTTAGATTCTGGAGTTCGACGGTTTTTTTTTCCGTTTGTTGTTTTAAGTCACTGGTCTTTTCTTGTTCAACCCTTTTTTTAGGTGAAGGACATCCACAAGTAGCTACATGTACTTATTTCAAGCTTGGAACCGATAAGAACACGGTTTTTGACGTTACGCGACCTTGCTGTTTCGTACAACCGACCTCAAATTGCATCCGATGGTTTAGATGTTGTGCGTTTGTAATTCAAAATAAAAAAAAAACTCGATTTCTCTGAAGATCCTTTGCAGCTACCCTGCGAGCAGAGTCGCTTCGATCTTATTCGCAACCTATTTGCTTTCGATCTAACGGGGCTGAGTCGCAGCTTACGCTTTCGTCCTCAGGCGGGAAGAAAAATATGTTGGGCAAAGCGATGAGAAGTTTACGAGGTAGAGTGGCTCAATCAAGAATGAGTACTCCATTGGAGAAATGCAGCTCATGTAGTGAAGGTTTGACTGTTCTTGTACTTCATGTAGTATGCACGAAAAGCCGTACATATCAATCATCATCCACTGGGAAATCGACGGGTTTGCTCATGGAGCACTTTGATTTAATAATGGGGTAAAACGCTGCCTCTCGTGTTTGTCAATTACTTGAAAAAGTATTATTTTCCAATAGAGCTATACAGTTATATATACAACAACAAAGAAGAAAATGACTGAAGAAATTCGAAAAGAAATACATAATTGGTTTGTTTCCCAACCTCGCCTGTATCGAATAATACTCAGAGATCTTTAACAATCCTTTCAGATAATTTCTTGTTTATATTTAAATCTCCTGATGAGTAACGGAAGTAGAAAGGAAAGAATCATTTTCAGTGATGTGAACTGGCCCTCTATCACCCGGTATATCATCAACTGGGTATCAAGGCCATACTACCTCACAGACACAATCTATAACACATCTTACCCCGTTTCCCTAATCCCGCCTGATAAGAACGAAGGACCCATTCCTCGTCTGCTTTCCAGTCGCACATATTTTCTTCAAAATAACAGTCTGGCCTTGCTGATGATAAAGAAAGAAAAGATTGTTTCTTAGCGATCTAATTCAGTAATTTACAAATGTCTAGTAAAATAGCCTGTTTGAGGGTCTGATTTGATAAGGGAGCAGTGCGAAATACAGCGAGAGAAAAGCAGTCTATTTTCCTCTCACCGTTCTTCGCGCTGCTGTCCAACTAACCGAATGTGTGAAACAAATACTAGGGTATTTAACCCTGATCCACGAGAAGTGTTTTATAGTTTTCTAGGACGTTTACAAGAGAGAACAGGAAGAATGTTAAATAAGCTGTCTGTTGATAGGTTCCACGGGTACGGGGAAAGTTCCTAAATCAGTGGGGAGCACGATTCTTATGCACCCAAAAACCCTCTGTTTTTAGGGTATCCTCTGCCTTTAAGACCCTGTTGTTTATAAACATAACTGCACCACTCTAAAAGCTGTGTAAGTCCTCATTTTATCAATCATGGATTTCAGGCTTGGTAGATCGAGCTTTCAGGTTGTTGTTGTTATTGTTTCGAGGATCATGGCAGGGAATGCTCTCTGATTTAGGAAGATTTTACTGAATCAACGCTCAGTTGCACAGCACGTAACAAGTTGCCTTGCAATGGCAGGAAGCCTTCGAAAGCCTCGTAAACCCAATACCAACGTTCTTGCTTACTTTGTTTTATAATCGTTTCACAAATTCCGTCCAATATCGTCAAATCATCAACTGCAACATCACCTTTACTTCCATCACCAACTGTTCCTTCTAGTACAAACTAACAAAAAAATACGAAAGTATGTTAGTTCTAAAACGCAATAGAAACTTTCCTTTATTTATAACCTCCTCATAATCAAATAATGAAAAGTAAGAAGGATAAAAGATGAAAGTGCTTAATACATGGTCCCGATTTAAGCTCTCTGTTTTTGGATTTCATTGAGTCTTAAACAAAATATGAAAACTTACTTTATATAAACTTGGACTATTCAGGGCAGTCTGTCCAAATCTCCAGCGGTTTCCTTGATCTCCTGACAGCCTCCAGACGGGAGTTTCTGATTGGTTAGTTTTGACATAAATGTTTAGATTTCCGATATCTGAGCCGTGCATGTGATACCAAAACTGAACACAAACTGTTTCATTGGCTTCTATCCAGCCACTTAACAACCTCGCCTTTTCTCCTGGGTTTCTTTTAGAAGCTTCAATGAAAATGTAAGAGCCTGAAAAAGAAATGTATAGTAGTTATAAAAGTGTTACTTATTAGCAGGAAATTAAAGGCAGAACGTTTCTCGCCTACCCCTGCTACTTATAACGCGGCATTGCCGCTGTGTTGTCACAGTCTCAGTTTGTACCCAGAATTTCGTCTTTATTTTGAACTGATTGGTGATTTGATCCAAGTACATAAAGCTCATCAATCAGAGGAATGCTTGTCTGCTTAGCGAATCATTTTGGTTCCCACGCGTGCTACCAGTTTCATGTTTTATGTCCAAGGTCTGATTACTTTTTTAAATTCAGTCAGTATGTATAATGATAGACTCATATTTGCCTTGGTTTAAATTGATGGTTACTGAACTTACCGCTACTAACTTCCCTAATTACAGTTTTATTCACTTCTGACTTCTCTTACCATCCTTATTAAGCGACGTGTGATCGTAACTCGGTCCAGTACTTTCCGTTGGCGTCTGGCCTGAGCCCACAGTCCAGTGGAACGTGGCATTCTTATCAGCTTTCAGTCCACAAAGTCCACTTTCGAAATTACAATGACCTTTTGAAACCACGATAAGTGGAAAAATATATAATAAGATAACGAACAAAGAAATTGATGCTGGAACGTTCAAACGTTTAAAAGATTCCTGAAACGAAACTTTCAAGACGCAAGCCCTTCGTTTCCTTGTTTGTCAATAATGAAATTTACGTTTATAAACAAACAGGTAGTTACAAAAGATTCCCATTGAATACATGTTCTTGTTTCTAAAAGAGTAAATGTCATGCTGAACTGAATACACAGCTTAGTCAGCGAGTAAGTTTTGCTTTAACCATACCTCTGAAAGATCTACATCTTTTTTGCACGCTTGTATTTTTAGAGGTACATGCTAAATCATCTAGATGGCATTTGCCAGAGCCTGGGAAACCAACAAATTAACGAAAATTATATGAGCACAACCAAAGAAGATGAAACGCGAGATGTTTATAGGGATTAAAGCTAAAAGCGACAACAACTAAGAAACAGATAGGAGAACTGAGAAATGAAAAGAAGTGAGGGGAAAACGAAAAAATAGAGACACGAAAAATGAAATCACAAGAAAACAAAACTGAACAAGAAGAAATGTCGAAGATAAGAAACGAAACAGTTGTGCTGACTTTTATGAAACGAACCACGAACTGCACGCCATTTCTCCCGTTTCAAGCTACAGGGAAAATTCGCGATTTTAAGGGGTGAAGCCGAAAACCGTATATCTAACGGAGATCCCACTCGACTCTACTAAATTAAAAAGTCTACGAACGTAACTCACCACATACAGAAGGCGTATTAGTTCCGTCCCTGCAGAAAGCTGTCTGAGTACATGTTTTTGACCACGAAATGCAAGACCCATCAACACACTGATATCTAGAGCTGCACCGATTCCCTGAAAAGTTAATTATGTACGCGGTGTACTTAAAATCAACCAAGGTAAAACTTCACTGGCATATAACTCACACGTAGCTCATATGTGGCAACAAAAATTAATCAGCACACGCGGAGTTCGAGAAAAAAATTGGACATTCAAACCTTTGTATAGAGCGAGCATGTAAAGAGAAACGTCCATATTATCACACTCGTTCTTCGTATAGATTTTCAACATTGCGCGACTCACGTTGGCTATTGGAGCTCGCTGTATTTTTTTGTCTCTTCCAGTACAGAGGCTTCTAGCTTTCTCAGTGATATTAAAGAACGAAATTGAACCCAACATGCCAAGCTTTGCTGATTACAAACAGAGTTAATAGAGCAGATTGGTAATAACGCCCGACAAAGTTCTTTGTTGTATGTTATTGTTCAAGACTTATTTGGTTTTGACGTGCGCATAACAAAATATAGTTGTTCACTTCTGACTGAGAAACTTACCAATAGGAACGTTTCGGTTACGTAGTCCAAATGTAGTGTATGAGCACAAAAACGTTGTACACGGTCGTAGACCTTCCAACATAAATCTTGTCATCTTTGTTTCCTTCTGTTCTTGCCAAGCCCGTCTATTAACTATGGTTAAAATGAAAACAAATAATAACTTACGGCAATTTTTTTCGTCGTCTTCATTGGAACAGTCATTTGTTCCATCGCACACGGATGTTGCCAGGAGGCATCCTCCCTCTTTACAGTTGAACATGCTGGAAGGGCATTCACAGTTGTCCTCATCTGAACCATCTTTACACGCAAAGTCGCTATCACATAACAGATTCTTCTTGACACATTCGCCATTATTGCATGTAAACTTGTCGTCGCTGCACTTGAAACCTGAAAAAAGGAGTTGCAAAGAATGTTTTCACTCATGTGTCCAGCAGGCATACAAATTTATTGGAACAAAAGAAAGTGTTTACATAAGAAAAGTGTTCAACTCCCTCAGGATTAGCTTGCGACACCAACTTGGCCGCCGTTTCATTGTTTTGGGACACCAATATAACTGTTGTGACGTCATTTGAATATACTCTATTG